TGAATAGGTGGATGGTAAGACAGCTGGCATGGCTCTGCCCATCCCAGCTATCACCCAGGGACGTGCAGTTTTGGAGGTTGGCTGAAGCTGGGCACTGGCGGTGGGATGCTCTGGATGAGTGACACGCAGCAGGGAGTACAAGGAAGGGCTGAAACGGGTCTGGTTTGCTTCTTTTAAACAAAAGCAAAGAGGTCTGCCCTGTCAAAGGCCTTTTTCTGACTGGGGAGCCAAAGCAGACAACTTCTTGCCTTTCATCAGCACACCAAACCGGCAGTCCCTGGAGTCAGTCAGTCTGACTGATCCTAGAGGGGAGGCTGCCAGGAACCCAAGCGGGACAGCAGCCTTGGTGGGCCAGCCTAAGCGTACAGCAAACAGCTCTGAGATGGACACAGCTTCAGACAGATGGCTGGGGATATCCATAGGCCACCAAGTTCTCTGCATCAGCTTTATTCGATTTTCACTAAGGCATCTATTTCTACCTGTTTTTCTAAAGACATGCAAGCCACCCAGTGCATCCGCCTGCCTGGGTTATGGGTGCTGGGACCGCAGGTGCAGCCGCCTTCTGCTGCGGCAACATTTGTCCTTCCCTCACAGGCTCTCAGAGTAGGATTGTTTTTATTAGTTTTCTGATAATACCTGGCACAACAGAGAGAGAGAGACTTGCCGTCGCAGTCTCAGAGCCTGAACCAACATCATATGAATGAAGGACAGAAAAGGCACCGTCAGTCACGGGGTGGCTGCAGAGTTCGGCATGCCTATCACTTCCTTTTCAAGGATGGCTTTGTTATTGCAAAAACACGTGTAAAGAATCATACAGCAGCTCAGTAATGCTGCTGTCACAGCAAATTCATTTTCTGCAGAAGAGAGGAAGAGAACAGCAGAGTTATATACACTTGCAACCAAATCTGCCCCTGGTTATCACTTCTGCCCTAGCAGGAGCTGACATCCTGCCTGCTAAGAATATTATCAGAACAACTACACGGAGAATATTACTGTTGAACAGCCTTGCCTTCAGCCAGCTTCGTGGGGAGGGCATTTTATAAACAATGTGTGGGGCTTTGACAGAATTAAATACAACTAACCTGAACTTTGCATTGACATCAATTTTAAAATTCCTGAGCGCCAGCTCCCCGACACAGATGTTGGCCCCGCAGTCCTCCCGCTTCCCCCCGAGTCCAGAGCCCCTTCGCCGCTACCGCATCCCTGTGCCCGGCCGAAGAGCCCTGCGAGGCCGTCAACACCAGCAGCCTCCAGTCTGGCTGAGGGCATACGGCATCGTGGTCCTAACCCAAACCTGAATTCACATCAACAATAACAGAGTTCGGAGCTTAGCCAGATAATATTCTAATTGTTTTAGGCTAAGCTTCCAGTTCTTCATTGTTAGATCAAAAGGTCTTCAAAGACTAAGGTACCAGCATTTCTGCCCATTTGATAAGGAGCTGGGAAGCACACACTGCTGCTTTGCAGGCACTAAAAGCTACACAACCATTGCATTAGCAGCTAGAACTTTTGATACACAAGAGTAATAAGTATTTGGAAAAGCCGATTACTTTTAAAATAATAATACTTTTGGGGGGAGGAAAAAAAAAAACCCAATCCCAAAACAAATCCAGAAACCCACCCACACATTTTCCACAGGTCGAAGTCAAATGATTACTGTCCCAGTGCAGCGAAGCCCAAATGACTCACCCGACTGAACCAGGACATGGTGCTGCAAGATATAATTGTTTTACCTTCTCTGTGCCCGTTTCCTAACTCAGAAAGAATGAGAAGCCCGTGACAAGTGAATTCATTATTCCTAAGTTGTATCAGGATACAGCTAGATATTATGGTAAACTCTACAGCACCAGAATTTCACAGATTATTGCAAGGAGCAGATCTACTCCAAGAGAAGTGGGTTCAGCCTCGAGTTTAGGTGAAGCGATGGGTAACGCTCTCTGTGAGCATCTCCCTCGTTCTGGAGAATATGGTGAGATTTCCTCTCGGTATTCGAGAGCGGGTATGGAGATCTGCATTCATGCCATAAGGCATTCAGAGGAGGAAAACCACTCTCTGTATCCTGGTGACAGTCTCTGCATGTTTTCTAAAGCATCATTTTAATAAAAGGGTCAGGCCTATCATATGGTGTACAATTCTGCAGTGTTTAAATACATGTTCTTAAATAAGCAAGGAAATAAAAGTGTCATCTCCTCTTAGTCCTCTTTGAACATATATTATAATGACAAGGCGTCTCACCAGTGTCCTGTTATAAAATTACCATTTACATACAGAACCTGTTTATTCATTTAATCATCTCTTTAAAACCTGGATTTAACCAGCCAGATAAAATCACTTGTTTACAGTGTAAAATCCCAGTGGAATTGCCTGAGGACTGACTGTTGAACTCTTCAGCCTCTCTCTGCTTTAATTTGTACGTATTTTATGCTACTAATTTCACTCAAACTTGAGTGAAGCTAAGCCAATCAGATGCTTGCGAGAAATTAGTTATCCAAACTTCGTGATTCATACATTTGTAACTGTGTTTGTTTAATTATCGAGAATGACAGTTTCTGATGGAGAACAAAGCAAGTAAAAGCGAGTCAAAAGATGGAACACTGCATTACCATTTCAGAAAATTTAGTAAGTTACCAAAACTAAGTATATGATCTTAATTTAGCAAAAGACTCAAGAAATCATTATACAAATTCATTTATGATTACATTCTACTTGTCTTTAATTTTCACTGTTCAACATTAACATTAAACATCGTAAATGTATGCAATATTTATATAAAATTAAATAACAATATTGGAAAAATAAATACACTTTTACATAAATACATAAATCCATACTGCTGAAAAGTTTCAGCTAATACTATACTCTTGTTTCAAAAGTGACCAAAAAAATATGGTAGTGACACTCCATCCCAACAGATGAAGTACGTACAGCTACAGAATGATGTTTGCAATCGATGACAGAGCTAAAGCAAATCCAGGTGATACCATGCTAAATAAAAAAAAAAATTTGGACTTTACTACCTACAGTAGTAGCACGAGGTAGACATATACGGGGAGTATTTTGCAGGAGGGACACGAAGCCCTTTTGACCCCACAGATATAAATCAGTCTTCAAACAGCGCTGGGGTCCCCTGCGTCAGAGCCAAATGACACCTCGGTAGCAAGACCTGAAAAATCAAGTCACTTTGTGGCAGCGGCTGGGGCTCAGCCCTGCAGCCCCTTCCCCTGCGGGAGGAGATGCCGCGGGCAGGAGAGGATGCCCCTGCGCTCTGCCTGTTTGCCCGACGTCCCACCCGCTCCCCCGAGACCGAGCAAGGGACAAGCCACCAAGGTTAATACGACTTAGGAGAGTCACGGGGAATTTTTCCTGGGTGAAAAAAAAACGACCCAAAACCCAAAATACAGGACTGCACACCCTGCATTTCCACCACAGAGGAGCTGCCGCAGCCCCGGAGCCTGTGAAGAGGCTGAACGCCGAGTGACACCAAAACGCAACACAACTGTGTCCGCACCTTTGGTTCTTGCAAACGGTCCAGCACCGGTAGCAAAGGTTGGCAGCACCTCCCAGCCGGTAACTCTGCGGGGCAGCCACCGCACGGGCCGCCAGCTCTGCTTAGCTCACCTCCCTCATTTTTAGCACCAACCGTATCAGCGTCCAAGTGATACATTAGCACCTCGAATGAAATATTTCGCATCACTGTCCCTTGCACTGGTGAAGCACCGTATAAACACCAGTTCAGCAGTTTTATGGCTATTGCATAACTCACTGAGGTATGATAAAAATACTGAGGAGCGTTACTGAAGGCATCCGCGATACTGAAAGCACCCACAGGAACGACCGTGCGGTTACGTTTTAGCAAGATGACTTTTCAAACCACGACAATTAAGGACATCCAAAATATTACAAACAGGCCGCCTTTTTTTTTTTCTCCTACATAAAGTGCTTTTGAGTCAAATTAGTATTTTTTAAAACCTTCTTCAAATGGTTTTATAACAAAATAGGTCGACATCTGTTTGAAGGCCGCTCCAAAACCGGCAGGTCCGTGGTTTCCAGCGCGCCAGAAGCGCCCGGGCGGCACCCGCCTTGGCACACCGGGGCTCCGCGCCCAGCAGAAGGTGCTGCTCTGGGCGGGGACAATTTCAAAGCTGTGGGACCCAAAAATATCATCCCAGCCCCCCGGTTCAGGGCTGCTCTGTCCTCGCAAGAGCATCTCTATAGCAGACTCCTCCGGCGGCCAAGGAGCAGTGCAAGACACCTGCTCCAAACACTATTTTGTTAGAAAGCTCGCAGGGTTTTAAGCTTTCCACCACCTGCTGATCCCTTGCGGACTTAATGACATCTAGAGCAGCAGCTGGAGATCAGGCCAGACAATAACTCTCCAGAACCGGAGATATGCACAGAAATAGCTTACAGGTGCCTTCGCACGGTACGTCACACTCATGTTATGTATACACGGGAAGAGAAATAGAGCGCGCGTGTGAACTCACACGTGTTTCTATATAGCTGTGTGTGGGGGCAGGTAGGGACCCGCACACACATCTATACACACTTGTACACGCTTGGGAGTTGATGCAATTTAGTACACATTTTCCCCTGTCATCTTGCTTTTGGCAGAGAACACACAACTGGTAAACCGGTAGGTGCACAGTGCGGTATTACCATTAAATATCAGAACAATTTAACTTCAGTGGAAATGTACTGCTTAAATGCCAGCTTTAAATCCATATGCAAAGAACTCAGTTAGAACCAAGACTCGTAACGCAGAGCACTCGCATGTCATAAGGTGGCTACTTAGCAGAAAGTGCCTTTTAAATTAGAGGACTTGAGGTCCCCTAATGTAAGCCCTTCCTGAACAGGTGTTACTCTGAATATATTGTCAATAATCCTCTTTAAGTGCAGTTTTAAGACACGAAGCATTAGCACCTTGGTTTGAAGCAAATTAAATCTGTTGTTACGGGATATCCACAAAACGGTTCACAAAGAGAAAGAGTTTATGGTCGTACCGAGCTCCAAGGACCAGCGCTCCAGGCAGCATCTCTAGGACAGTCCTGCACATTGCACTGCTCTCTGTCCGGTGGCTTGTCAAGAATTTCGCAGCTCAGATCCGTAAACCTTTCTCCATTAGGGCGCTGGCACACCACCAGCCGCGTTCTTGTCCCTGCCCCGCATGGCTTCGTGCACTGGAAGTCAGCAGAGGACAGAGCAATCACCGTCTGGGCAGCCAAAATACTGCTGACCGGTCACTCGAAGCACCAGCACCCCTCGCGACCTGACTGTTGTTTCTGTTCCCAACCGACCCACTCAGGCCAGATCCCCGCAAACTCCGTATAAGCCTCAGATGGGGCATCGGCTGCTTCAGCTTCTCTCTTCCTAAAGCTGCCCATGCTGCTCCACAACGATACTGCCAGACCCAACGCGATACTGGAGGTTAACGTCTCTGATTGCTCATCTCAGATGAATTTGCAGAGGGGAGCAGGGGTTCTTTTTTTTTTTTTTTTTTTTTTTTTTACAAAAAAAGGCCTTCAGTTAAGCGAGACTTCTCTTGGGGGGGGGAATTTCAATTTTTGTGGAATTGGTTTTTGCCTGGGAAGAAAATTCTCCCATGACAAATGGAAAGAAAACACCACCAAGCAGTTGCTAGGCTCACTCATTTATCAGAGGCTGCCTTTCACGCTCCAATTTTTCTAATAAATGTCACCGCAATATCCCCCTCTTCTCCCATTTTTCAGCCACTAATGAATAGCTTCCCCTGCGCAGGGAGCCCGGGATGAATGGTGCACTCACCTCTCCCCAGTTGCCATAAGCCCACTGAGGACAGGGGCCAGATTCGCACGATCTCTGCTCCATGGGTTTGCTTTTCTCATCGCAGTTATTTGCGGTGTATCCGTTTTCATCCTGGCACACCACGACCCGCCGCTGGAACCCCCCCGCACACGTGCTAGAGCACTGGAAGATACAATTGCCCATGGCTTCGTTGAGTCCAGGAATAATTCTGCATTCCCAGCTCCTTCCCAGTGCCTTGCACCGTGGGAATGCACTGCTAGAAATTTAATACAGTTAACAGGCATTATTAACTTTAAACCCCAGCCATTACTAATAGCAGTGCAATGACTTAAGTGCTGACTAAGCAAAGAAAATAAACACGAGCCTAGTTTTAAGCAGGTGAGTAATCCCCACTGCCTATAATGCAGTGTTTGACACCCCGTTTGTGCTTAATTCCCTTTAGGGACTTCTGTGCTAAAGCGCTGCAAACTGGTTGGGGTGAGAGGATCTGGCATTAAGGCTCTGCTGTGCTTTGGCAACAGCTCTGCACAGCTGTAAATGTCCCGGGAGATGGCCAAGAAGCAGAGGTTGGCCTTTGCCTCATGGAAAATGATGCCGTCAGCTTTCTGCCTAGAGAGCCTTGGAGATAGGAGGTGTGAGAGGCTGAGGAGCGATGCCTGCACCCTACTGCAACACTTGCTCGTGCCAGCAGAGAGCAGAGAGCGGGGAGAAGGGTCCCTCCTTTCCCTGCATGGCAACGTCGAGAAAAGCCTGGATTAGACCAGGAAAAGACACACACACACACACAAAAAAAAAAAAAAGACATAAACAGCAAGAAGAAAATCAGGGCACTTACTGCACCCCAGGGGCCAATCCTCCACTGATTGCCTCCCGGTATATGTGCACGGTTTCGGTTCGGGCTGCCTCCGGGGTGCAGTTTCAGGCGATGATCCGGATAGAGGAAAGGGTGGATGGGCCTGCCGTAGTCATGGCTGTTCGGATGACATGGAGACATGGAGCAGTCTTGCTCGGTGGCAGGGAGGTCATCCGGATCGCACTCACCCCTATCCACCAGCTGGTCACTGTAATTGATGCAGATCACTTGTCGCGTTGCCTTACCTTGACCACAAGTCACCGAGCACTGCGTTACAGTGGGAAAAGGAGACACAGTCACATTTCCAGCTTTGAAAATCAGGCAGACAGCTATTGCTAATAAAGGAGAGAATAAAACCTTAATCCCCCCAGCTATAAAAGGGCAAGCGTGACAGATTAATGAAACCCGTTTCCAGCAATGAGGTCCATGAGGCTCTCCTGCAAGAGACAGCGTGATGCTTACAGAGCTCCACTCCAAGGCCTTCCACTGTCCGCACGGCGTCACGGTGCACATTTCCGTGGCTGACGGCTTCGGGAGGTGGAAACAAGCTGACTCGTCAGCCACCGAGCCCTGGTCATCTCGACAGCTGACGTATCTCATCCGGGTACCCTTCCCGCACGTTGCGGAGCACTAGGGAAGAGCAACAAGCACTCCGCTAGAAAGTTTCCTGATATATATTACAAGGGCTTTGGAACGAAAAGTTGGTCAAATACACTTAAAAATATCACATTGTCTACTGCAAAATAATCCTGAAATGCTCTTACCGGTGTCCAGGATCCAAATCTCCACTGTGTCCTGTGAATGCCTGATATTGATCTCTTGGCTTCGGGACTATTTGGATGGGGAGGACACGCTGCTATTTCACAGTCCTGTACATGAAATACATGAAGGAAAAGAGGGAAATAAAGAATTTGCAGATGTTTCACAGTTAAACCACCTCCTCTTCAATGAAATTATCAACCACACACAATGTCTTCAAAATCCGTGACCTGCATGCTTGTGTGTTGGCAGGATTTCTCCTTGCGTCCTCTTGGTGAATCAGCAAAATTTGGTATGAGTACCCCGAGGGCTTCATATGCAGAAGCTCGGTGGACTTTTGACTTATTAGGAACTCCACAATAGGGATCCCCATAACCATGTGCCATCTCCATGCATTAAAACCAGATGTTTTTGAGGCAAAAGATGAAAGTTCATCAAGAGACTTCTGGTATGAACCCACATCTGCAAAGCAGCAACTTTATCTCCCTTCAAAGCTCCCTTCCTTCAGCGCGAGACCTGCAGCCCACTTAATAAAGGTTACGCTGCTGAGCTGATTGCAGCCCTTTGATTCCCTGCAGCCCACCTATATCTATGTGCTGATCTTCACCAGACACTAAACATGCATGGTTTTGGGGGCAGGCATGTTATTCTGCTCAGCTTTGGTACGGTGCCCAACAGGAGGGTTTTGGTCCCGGTCTGGACCTCCTGGGAGGTCTGGCAACAGAAATGACGAATAGTGACTTTACTACATGAGCCTATGAGTAGCAATTGCCAAAAAGGAAATTAATACTGATCGTCACTGCAAGGGAGAGAGCGGCTCTTGACAAGTGGCATAAATGATTTCCGCATTGCTGTGATTTTTACTTACACTGGAGATGTGCATGCCAAGCGATGGCTGATGACAAGTGAGTTTGTTACCCCTCGACTATAGCGCAATTGGTCTCCATACATGGGAAAAACAGCCCTTTCCTAGATGTTGTGGCCTTAGTTAAACTCTGAAGTCATGCAGGACTGAAGCTGGGCAGGGCATCAGCACTACGACTTCCCTAGATGATAGATAGATGGTAATGTTCTGCTTTATTCAGCTCCTTCAGACACCATGGGCACATCCTCTCCTTGAAATGGGAATTTACACGTTTGCTTCCAAGCACCAGCAAACGCAGCATGGAAAGCCTTTTCAGCAAATTTGCAAATGGTGTGCAACATTTCTCAATTTATCCGGCTGGGAGGGTACGCATCTGGAATTGTAGTTGGCACATACACTATGTCATCACATGCAGCAGACAACAAATGATGGCCCCTAGCTGTCATTCGTACCACACAGCAATGGTCCCACAGCTGAGCAAGCTCAGACTGCAGTCATGCATCCCAGACCTTGTGCAAACCAAAGGAGGTGTCTGCTGTATGGAGACCCCAGCCTCTGAGGCTAGTAAATACTCTTCCGTCTTATCCTTCTGGTCGTTTTCCCATATTCATCTACTGCTGCTTCTTTAGCTTATGAGCTCTTGGAGACCAACCTTTGCTCTGAATCTGGACAGCCCCTCGCACATCCCATCCTATGACCAGAGCTCCATGGTTATAAACCCTAAGCAAAGGTAATATTTACCCCATGAAGTCTTGACACCCTCATAACAAGTTGTCTGTTGCCTTTTTGGCAATCCAGTGCTTTGGAGCATAAGGTTAACCACGTGGAGAGGGTCTGGATGGGAACTCCCCAAATACAGCTTCTCTGTCCCACGGCCACCACAACAGGGTGCTATGCTGCACCTCTCCAACAGCCACATAGCTGACCAAGACACTGCTCTGCATGGGCTGACATCCAGGACGAGCCTTTGCTGCAGCAAGACAACCCCCGAAGCTGCAGCTTGGAGACCTCCGTACACACGCTGGCAAAATACACAGGACAGCAGCATTTACCTGTGTGTCCGTTGGCCTGGTCGCAGCATTACACTCATTATCATCCACCACTGACACGTAGGTGCCCACGACACACTTCACCGCTCTCATCTGGTAGCCTTGGCCACAGGTCATGGTGCACTGGGAGAGGACAGACCGGAGAAAGAAGCGCTGGGTCTGAGTAGCTGCTTCAGTTAAAGCATTAATCAGCCCAGGCTGAGCAGCAAAAATAAAGCCCAGCTTCCCTTCTGGTTACTCTCCACTTCATCCATTTCAGCTTTAAATTAGGTCGAAGCTTTAATTCACTGCGCCCACCAGAGCCTCACACGCTTCACTTGCTTTCTCGGGAATGAAGGTGCGAGCATTTAACAGATTTACTTTGCCACATACAGTAAACCATAGTCTGGTAGAACCTGCATAATATCTTTCTTTAGAATTGGTTGTTCAGCCCCACGGTAGCCCAAGCAGATAAATGAATAATTTTGCTGATAGGAAATAAGTCTGACTGGGACAACTGGTCTGGGTTTGTTGCTGGGTTTTTTAAGTCAAGAGCTAACAGCTTTGTGGAAGGCGATGCCAGAACACTCTGGGAGAAATGAGCAACTTGTATTTTAACAGAAGAAAAACCCTCACCAACCCATAACTGGAAAACATTAAAAGCAACAACAGCTATTCAATGGGAGCTGCTTTTCCATGAAAATTAGGCCATGTATTTACATGCCTAAATATGGATTTAGGAGTGTAACCTTGGAAACCCTTTTTTTGCAAATCACGGCCAATTTAGTATGACACGGATTAAATACAGCACAAAGGGCAGGTACTGTTATTGCTGCCCATCCGCTGAACCCAAGCGAACAGAGGGCTGCTTCGGCGTGCAAATCAATTAACACAGTTATGCCACTGAATTTGGATGAGAGGGTAGCACCCAGCCTTGGCCACCAGCACCCAGGTCCCGCCGGCCAGGAGCCCCGCGGCAGCTCTGCAGTACCTGGCCCCACGGCCCCAC